TGTGTGGTGCTGTCGGGTTACAAGAGGGTGCTGGATGCGGCGGGGATATGGACGGGGGCCAGACAATGGAGGGTGCGTCTGAAGACGGAGGGGGGGGGGGAACTGAGGCACGTCCCGAGCGCATTGAACATTGGGGGGAACAGGGGCTATGTTGTCTATGCGGGACAGCCCAAACTGTGTAGGAGGTGTGGGGGAGGGGGGCACCTGGTGGCAGCGTGCGTGGCACGCGTTTGTTACAGGTGCAGGGCGCTGGACTACACGGTGGAGGAATGTGGGGAGCCGGCCCTTTGCAACCTGTGCGGCAGCAGAGGGCATCTGTATAGGACCTGCCCAGAGTCCTATGCTAACAGGGTGTGGGCATGTCGGAGTGGACAGGTAGAGGAGGCAGCGGAGGAGGTGGCCGGACGGGAAGCGGGCCGGATGCATGGAGGGGAAGGGAAAGGGGAGGTGGAGGAACCACGACCCCCTGGGGAGGGTGAGGGGGGGGGGATCTGTGGGGGAGGGAGCACCACCACCACTGGAGGGGGGGGAGGAGGGGAGGGGAGATGAAGAAGAGGACTCGGAAACCCCAGTGGGGGACTGGGTGGAGGTGATGGGCGAGGAGGAGGGGCAGCGGGTGGAGGAAGAAGCGGATGACGCATGGGAGGAATCGGGGGGGAGAAAACGGAAGCTGGATAGAGTTATATTCTTAGTTTTTTCGGTAAAGTCACATTGAAGAGAAACAACAAAATAACAAAATATATATATAAAAAAAAAACTGGATAGAGTTCTGAAAGAAGCTAGTCCCCAGCAAGATGCGAGCCTTTCAGGATCTTCGCCAGATTCAGGGGAATCTGGGTGGAGGTGGGCAGAAGGGGGGGGGGGACGTTTGAACCGGGGGAAGCCCCGGAGGTTGAAGGGGAGAAAAAAGGTGAAGGAGAAGGCGGACAAAGGCAGACGGGGGGAGCGCGCACCGGAGTCCGACACGGAATAATGCACGCCTCGGCATGGACATATCTGTAGCATCTGTTAATGTGAGAGGAATGGAGGGGAAGGGAAGGAGAGGGGCAATCATGCAGTGGCTGCAGATCACCAGACGTGACGTAATTTTCCTCCAAGAATGTCACCTACCCTATACCCTAGGGTCGGAGGCTCTGCTGGACGAATGGAAGGGACACTACATTTGGTCTGGCAGCAACGGGAACAGATGTACAGGCGTGGTTACCCCCCTAGGAAGAAGGGGAATGAGAGTGGAAGGGACCCAGGAAATAATACCGGGTCGGCTCTTCTGTGTAGATGCATCTTACCAGGGTGTGGAGCTACGGCTGATAAATGTGTATGCCCCGGTACGATGTATGGACAGGACGGAGGTGTGGGAGAGCCTGGTGGGCCTACTGGCCACCAGGAGGCAGGTCATTGTTGGGGGCGATTTTAACTGCCCGTTGTGTCTGGCGGATCTGGTGTCGGTAAAGGGGAGGAGGAAGGTAGATTCCTCTTCCAGGAAACTGAGGGAGTTGATGGAGGACTTTGGGATGGTGGATACGTTCAGGAGGGTGCATGGCACGCGGCCAGGGTTCACGTGGGCGGATAAGAGTGGGTGCACACAGTCACGTATCGACTTTATTTTCGTCTCCGACAAGGTGAATGTGGGAAGTGCAGGGGTGGAACCTTTTCCCCTCTCGGATCACAGAATGGTGGTGGCGGGGCTTGTGATCCCAGGTGGGGTGAAGAGGGGGAAGGGTGTGTGGAAGATGAATGTGGGCTTGCTGGTGGATCAGGAGGTGGTGGAGGATTTCACGCGAGCGCCTACCAGCTGGAAGACGCTGCAGGTGTGCTTCCCCACGAGGGTGGAGTGGTGGGGGCAGATAAAGGGTAGGATAAGAACGTTCTTTCAGCGTTATAGTAGGAGGAAGGGGGTGGGTAGGGAATTGAGACAGTGGAACGCTAGGTTAGAAAGGCTGTATAGACTGCTAGAGCTAGGGTTCCCAGTGGGAGAAAGGATAGAGGAGTTGAAAGGGAGGATAGCCTCAGTCCTGGAAAAGAAGACTAGGCAATTAGTGTATAGGGCGAGGGTCAGGGCAACAGAGTATAGGGAACAGTGTACAAGATTTTTCTTTAAGGCGGGTAGGGAGGGAGACAATGAAATGAGGGAGCTAGTTAGTCCTACTAGGGGTAGACAGGTGACGACGGAAGGGATGATTAGTGTAGCGGAAGACTTTTATGGGGATTTGTATAAGAGGAAAGGGATAGATGGGGGGCGGCGGGAGGAGCTGCTGGGGGCATTGGGGAAGAGGGTTGAGAACCCAGAGGCGCTAGAGGAGAGAATTCGACGGGAAGAAGTGGAAGGGGCGGTGAAGAGGCTGAACAAGAACAGGACCCCAGGCCCGGACGGGATCCCAGCGGACTTCTATATAAAATTCTGGGAACTCCTGAAAGAGGATATTATGCAAATTTGTAGGGAAACTATGGAGGAGGGGCGGGTGCCGGACGACATGCGGGAGGGCCTGGTCACATTGATTTATAAAGGGAAGGGAGACCGTAGGGACCTGGGAAGTTGGAGGCCAATAACCCTCCTGAATGCGGACTACAAGATCTTGGCAAGGGTAGTCGCGGGGCGACTGGGGAAGGTGGTGGGTGAGGTGGTGGGGCCGGACCAGACGTGTGCAGTCCCGGGGAGGAGGATCGCGGACACTTTGGTGGTTTTGAGGGAGGCGATTGAAGGCGAGAGAGAGAGGGGGTGCCCGTTGGGGATCCTAAGTCTGGACCTGGACAAGGCCTTCGACCGCCTCTCTCATGAATTCATGCTGGCGGTGATGGAGAGGATGGGGGTGTGTGGGCCCCTGGTGGAGTGGGTGGAGCGATTTTATGGGGGGCTCAGAGCCAGGCTCCTGATAAATGGGGAACGATCCAGGATCATTCCAGTGGGTTCCGGGGTGCGGCAGGGATGCCCGATGTCCCCAGTACCATTTATCATGTGCATGGAGCCTCTGGCGCAAATGATAAGGAATGACCAGAGGATTAGGGGGGTGGTAATACCGGGGAGCAAGGAGCAAGGAAAGGTGACCCTGTACATGGACGATGTGGCCGTGCTATGCAGGGACGTAGCATCAGTATGGAGGGCAATGGAGGGGATGGGGAGGTTCTGCGCGGCCTCCGGATTGAAGATTAGTGTGGGGAAAAGTGAGCTGATGGTTTATGGAGACTCGAGGCCTTTCGAGGGTCGGCCGCCAGAATTGAGTCTACAAACAGAGGGGATAAAGGTACTGGGGGTGTTCTTCTGTGGGGATAGGATGGGGGAAAATAACTGGGAGAAGGGGGTGAGGAAGGCAAAGGGCTGTCTGGGTAAGTGTGCTGGGAGGCGGCTCACGATGGCCGGTAGGATTATGGTGGTAAAGACAGAAATATTACCATCCCTAAACTACTTGGCGCAGGTTTTCCCGCCAGGTGGGAGGGAGGCTAAGGCCTTGACCTCGGCGATTTTCAGGTTTATCTGGGGGGGAGGGATGGAGAGGGTGAGGAGGGCTGCGGTGTGTCTGCAGGTCGGGAATGGGGGGAGGGGTGCCCCAAATGTGGGGTATACCCTGCAATCGACTTTTGTCTGCAACGCGCTGCGGATGTTTTTCTCTGCGGAGCCGCGGGGCAAGGCAGCGTGCTATATGAGGTATCGGCTGACGTGGCGGTTGCGGGGGCTTGGGATGACTGAGATAGGAAGGAGCTCTCCTTTGGACTGGCCGGGGGGCTGGGTCAGCGACGTGATGGGGAGCTACGTCGGGCAGCACGGCCTGAACCGGTGGGGGGGGCGGTGGGCTCCCAGGGAGGTGCGAGCTGCGGCGGATAAGGAGGAGGCCTGTGACGAGGTGGCCGGTGCGAGGAGGGAGATGCACGGGAAGATTTGGAGGAATGTGTTATCGGCAGCGCTCACGAAGGAGCAGAGGGACCTGTCATGGCTGGCTGTCCGGGACAAGTTGGAGACGCGGGGTTTCTTGTACAGCCGCCAAATGGCGCATACCCCCAAGTGTCCGAGGGGCTGCAACGCGGACGAAACTGCATCGCACGTGATGGTGGCGTGCCCTTTTGCCCAGGAGGTCTGGAGGAGGAGTAAGCCGTTGCTGGCCCGTTTCGCGCTGTCGAGGGTGACGGCACGGGACGTCATGTGGGGAGAGCTGCGGGGGGTGGGGAGGGAGGACAGGGACCAGGTGTGGGCTGTAATAGGAGCGACGAAGGAGGCGCTGTGGAAAGCGCGAAAGAAGGAGCTGGAGGGGTCCCTGATGTCCCCGTTGGAGACATGTTATATTGCGAGTAGATGGTTGGAAAGGGTGGTGGAGGTGGACCGGGTGAAAATGGGGCGCGATGCCGCAAGGGAACGATGGAAGTGGCCGCTGCCCAGGGTGGGCTAGGGCGGCCGGGGGGGGGGGCCTCGCCGGCGTCTGGGAGTGAAGGTGTGCGTGACTGGAAGGGGAGGCTGCCCCTCCAGTGCTGTGGCAGGGGGTGACTCCGGTCCAGAGGATGGGTCGGTGGGCGAGCGGGGCCTTAATGGCGCGAGCGAGGGGCGGCCCCTCGGTCTTTGCTTTGTTTTGTTTTTGTTGTCTCCGTTGAGATACTGAATAAAATTTTAAAAACCGTAATTACCAGCGAAACGTCGTACTCAACTGTAAATGTTGTGGATTCACTCAACACACCGGAGTGGTAAAGTAGTTAACTAATTGTCTTTTGTCAACGTGACACTTTATTTTGCTGATTGGCCGTGTCCGTTGGTGGAGGGTTACGACACATTTATAAATAACGCGATCTAACCCAGAAACCTTTATTATGGACAATCACAACTTTGCCTTTTATATATGGAGATTAGCTATAGCTATATTTTCACCTGATGACGATTGCTTGTGTTGCGATCGAAACGTCGCAGTTTCTTTTTAATTTTCTTTGAACCTATCTTACGTGACTTTACCGAAAGACCCAAGAATATGATTTCCTGTAGTCACGAAAGCTTTAAGTCAAGAGATTAGCATTTAATGGCAGATCGCAGAGCCGCAACCAACGGGTCGGCACGCGAAGAGACTGTGCGAGTGTGAACCCTGTGTTCCTGCAGTCACGAAAGCTACAAGTCAACATCTATCATCTACGTGACTATTTTTTTATTTTTCTACCTACGTGACTTTACCGAAAGAACCAAAAAGTATGAATCCTTGCAGTTACGAAAGCTTCAAATCTAGAATTAACAGACGTTGGCTGTCGTGCCATCGAATCGAATTATCGCTTAATATAAAACGCGATTCGCGAATCGATCCAGTTTCGTGACGTCAGCGCTCGCCCTATTAACCAATCACGGGAGGCGCGCGCGGTGACGTGCGTCACGAAGTTTGAAATCTTTAACGGTCGTCAGGGCCTGGGTTCGCTTCCAGTCCCCGATACAACATTGGCGGAGAGGGCGCCATCGAAGCACTCTACCTCGTGTTGAGGTGAGTTCATCTTTTGGTAGTGCCAGGGCTGTCGTCATCCTGTGTACATTGTCATTATTCGCGATATCCGAGACGGCAGACCTCCGCCTCATCTCGGAAGCTAAGCAGCTGCTTCGGCACCCACTCCGCTTTGTTGCTATTTGCTGTCCGCCTTCTATAACCCCGCAAATTCGTGAAATTCTATAACCCGCACTGACCAGCGTGTTTCTTTTGCATTGTTTGTAACTTTCTGACCCGCCCCTACTGGACATCTGTGAAAAAGAGCATTATAGCTCATCGGATTCTACAGCCTAAAGAAGGATTATGCGGTGAAGTATGGTTCATAGCCCACGACCCGCGACGGTGTGAGGAGGCTCCACCTCGGGTCATACAACCGTGTTATATCCGGGACACGGTATATCTACTCGCGTTATTTAGAGGACAAACGATCTGTTACTGGAGTATGAGAGTATCTGTCGAGGGACTTGCCCTGTTGTGGTCATCGAAAACAGACCATACAATATAGCGACGCAATGCCCGATCCACAAATACGAAAGGAGACGCCACAGTCAGCTCCTGATGCGGATGTCTGGCTTAGCCAACCATATTTTAAAATTGTACTGCAGTTGTTGCTCTGCATCTTCATCAGATATACACGGAAACGTAGACTGGCGTATTCTTAGCAGCGCTTCGTCTGGGTTATATTTGCTATACGGACTTGTCTACAGAAGCATGTACATCCCGTTTCGTGAATCCACTGCCGGACGAGGGAGGAGGGGCCTTCACATTCCTTGACCATACTTCACCATTCTAGATTTGAAGCTTTGGTGACTGCAAGGATTCATACTCTTTGGTTTTATTCGGTAAAGTCACGTAGGTAAAACAAATTAAAATAAAAAAACAATTAAAACACGACGTTTTGGAGGCAACGCAAGCTTCCGTCTTCAGGTGGGACAAGATCGCTGCACCAAGGTATACATACTTTACCACTAGGCGGGAATAAAATTGGATCGGGGCACGGGAAGAGAGGAGAGACCGGTATAGATACAGAGACAACGGGACAGAGGGACACGTAAAGATCTACAGAGATAGACCAGGAGACAAGACAAGGAGATACAAAGAGACGGGTAAATGGAGACGTACAATTATACAGAAGAGTAGAGACAGGCAGGTAATGTATAGACACACTGTGAGTATAACATAGGAACAAGGGAACGAGTGAGCTTGGGATGGTGATTGCCAATTTAGTGACTATCATGACGTAAAGCCAAAGTGGTGATTTTTGGGAGTGATGAATCCGATGTGGTGTTATTGACCTAAAGCCAAGAGGTGATTCTTGATATTGGTAAGTCTGAAGTGATCTTAGATCGTTGCAGAATTCAGGTTCTTATGAAGCTGTATATATATTTTTGCATCGTTGTAGGATTCGTGTTTGTTGATATTGAGCTGTACAGGGACTCCTCTACTTACGAACATTCGACTTACGAACTTTCAGAGATACGAACAAACCTCGATTTAAAGCTTTCGTGACTGCAAGGATTCATCTTCTTTGGTTCTTTCGGTAAAGTCACGTAGAATGAGAATAAAATAATAAATTGATAAAATAACACGATAATATTCTCACGACGTTTTGGCCACAACACAAGCGGTCTTCATCAGGTGAAGGGGGCCGAAACGTCGTGAGAATATTGTGTTATTTTATTTTAACAATTTATCATTTTATTCTCATTCTACGTGACTTTACCGAAAGAACCAAAGAAGACGAACAAACCTGCCCGTATGTACAATTGCTTGTTCGGACCGAGCGTCGTCAGTTCAACATTAGATGGCGGTGGTTGTTCACTGTCAAGCACTGGCTTGTTTTGAGTCTCAGGATCCAAATACTGAAAGGTGTTGGCAGCTGTTCACGATACTATTGCCTACTCTTTGAGTCTTTCGGTAAAGTCACGTAGATAGAAAAATAATTAAAAATCACGTTTTGATCGCAACACAAGCAATCGTCTTCAGGTGAAAAAATACAGCATATATCACATTTCTCCTGCCTCAGCAATTCGCCTGCTGTATTTTTTTCACCTGAAGACGATTGCTTGTGTTGCGATTGAAACGTAATTTTTTAAAATATTATTTTCTATCTACGTGACTTTACCAAAAGACCCAAAGAGTGAATTCCTGCAGCCACGAAAGCTAAGTCAAGATACTATTGCCTGGTACCAGTTGATTTATGAAGAGAAGAGAGCAACTGCGCAGACATCTCATGGTAATTGTTTCAAGAGAGTAGAGGGGAAAACACCAGCACCAAAGGGAACATCTGCAGAACATAAACAACCAGTGCCATCCACATCTGCAGAACATGAAGAACCAGTGGCATCTACAGTAGATTATAGCCATTCCCCGTGTTAACTGTACATGCTGTTCAACATGTTTGGAATTGACAGAAGTAAAATTGGGCTTACGAACAAATCCACTTACGAATAGACCTCTAGAACCTAACTTGTTCGTAAGTAGAGGAGTCCCTGTATGTACAGTGACTGGATAATTGCAGAATTTGGAGTTTGTTGTGCATATTATCTGTGTCGCAGATCTTCGTGATCATAATGCAGGACTGCATATGTTTTAATATTGGCTGGACATTGACTGGATCTCATTCACATGTCGAGGAATAAGGGTTTTTATATTCGAAATTACTATAACATTGTGGTGGTATTCGTTGGGTATTTCGGTAATGCCACATAAATAGAAAATAATAAAAATATCACGACGTTTCAATCGCAACACACCTGATGACGATTGTTTGTGTTGCGATCAAAACGTCGTGATATTTTTATTATTTTTCTAAATACGTGGCTTTACCGAAAGACCCAAAGAATATTAATTCCTGCAGTCATGAAAGCTCTAACTCATGGTGGTACTTTAGCGTGTGGCCCTAGGGAGCCACACTTACCACGTGGCCAGAAGCACGTGGCCTATCAAATAAAAAATATTCCCCATACAGCAGAGTTCTTCATTGCAAGGCCCACGTGCCACTGGCGGACCCTGATGGCCTTTTGTGCAGCCTCTGACATGCGGCCCGCGACAATACACAAATGTGAAAACACCCCATCTTGCTGTCAAACCCAATAGTTAAAAATGTGTGGCGGCCCTCACACTGATGTCTTATTGGTAAAATTGCCCCCCCCTCTGAATATTTGTGAAGAACATTGCCATATGGCCCTAGACTTTTTGGGCAAGGGCTGTTAGCACCTAATGAAGGCCGGGACGGTACATGAGGCTGGTATGATATTAAAAAAAACATCCTTTTTTACACGAAGGGGTGACCAGCACCACGCCCAGCCGCCTTGGTCCTGTTATAAGTTTCTGACCCATCGGATTCTTCCAGTCTAAAAACAGATTCTAATTCTCTATCCCCAGTAACGATGATACATCGTCGCTCCAGGTACTCATTCGACGCTGAGTCGACTTAGGAGAGAACCAGTTCAGATAATCGCCACTGATTTTGTCCGTGATTAGAATCAAACACGGGTGACTGGGTTCGCAGCCCACTAACCGCTGCAATACTGCTCCCTACATGCCTGAAGACGTACAGTACAAAATACTAAATGTAGACGAAACATATTTATATATTTAAAAATATACTTCATCAATATGTATTTATGATGTTATTTACATTGAACAATTATATTTATTATGCTTATATTTAGTAAATAATTAGTATTTTGTAATGTACGTCTTCAGGCGTGTAATCGCCAAAATGCTTCCGTTCACGTGGTACGTCTGTCGCCCTCGGGCCACGCGCTAAAGAACCACCGTGAGGTTCCCGAGCCATAACCTTTTATATAAAATGGGGAAAAAGGGAAGGAATGAATGGATGTCAAGTGAACTCTACATACATCCAAGAAAGTGAAAATATAGCATTTTGATCATCCTAAGTAAGACTGAACATATGTTATCATGCACAATGTATTACTGATAGTGCAGAGCTCTCGATTACAAAATAATCATGCTGGTCTTTTGCAACTAGTCTCAGCCCACATACAATGAGGTGGGAAATGCTGTGCAAGCATTGTATTGCATTGAAAGATTGTCATAAAGCATTTTCATTTCTTGTGCTCGAACAGATGGCTCCTAAAAGGTACGTTTCAAGTGGAGCAAACGTCACATCATCATCCTGTTTGGCAACCACTTCTGACTTGTCAATGAAGATGCAACGCAAATCCATGCGTTTTCCGCACTCTCCGGTGCTCATCGGTAACTTCACCGAAGAGCTGTGCCAATTGGGCAGCTTCTCCAGTGCAATTGCAAACACAACGTGCCAAAGTGGAGACCAAATTCCCATGGAAAATGCAAAGCCGCAAGCCAAGCAGCCACGAAGACGATCAACGCTGTCTCAGGCCTTTCTGAACAGCAAGAAAAGGTCTATCAAGTCCGAATTCACCGGCAACAGCAGCATCGAGACTCGGGATGAAGAAATTATAAAGGTGGTTGGGTTGCAAGCAAAGGGATTGTGGGACACCCAATTCAGAGGAATGATTTCCCCAAAGGTCGTCGTCAATATGCCTTTGGAAAACCCACGCCGCAGACTGTCCAATGTAAAGAGGATAGAAGCATTACCATTCGTTCCTTTGGAGAATGTTGAGGAAGCAGCACCAAATTGTGACTCAAATCTGTTGCTGTGTCGTGAATTTAATGCCAAGCCTCTGCCTGATATTGATGAAGCCCTGAGGCTGATTTCTGGAAGAACTGAACAGGTAGGAAATTGTTTAATTTCACCTGCATTGGTGGACTTAATTCCCAGTCCACCAGTGGTCCCCAGTCAACCCGTGCACCTGGACCCCACACAGAGAACACCACGCGTCTTGAGAAGCCGACCAGCCATTGCTTCTCGGACAGGGGCTGTCCCTCTTGCTCGCCCACAGAGCCCGCCACGACCACCACGGCCGGCACAGCAGCGAGTGGCGCAGAACACTGTGGCCAAAAGCAACCCTGACAAGGCCACAATAAAGTCGAACAGCTCCAGACAACTCCAGATGACCAGAAACCCCTCCACTCCACCGCAGAATAATTCTGGAGCCAAGATGCAGCAAGAAAGACCGACGTCTGAAGAGGACCGCAGGTAACGTGTGATGAGCAGTATAAGTTTGTAACACACAATGCCACTGCGTGAAGATCTTGATATTGATTCACATGTTAGAAATGTCTTTTTCCTGCACCAAATATTGGTGCAGATCTGAGAAGTGATGTGTTTTTGCTAATTTGGCAATATGTGAATCTGGCCGTAGTCTGATAAGACAGGTGAGGCTTGCTTGGTGTCTCAGGAGTACAGTATTGCCATGTCGGCACAGCAGGCAGCTCTCAAAATCCGAATTGGAGCAGCCACCGATTATTACACCAGTGGACTACGTACAGAACGGCCCACATTTCCGCATTTCCGAATTCCCCACGGGATATGCGCACGGGGATTGCATACATTTCCGCAAGAATGTGCGAATGATACCGAGTAGCCTTAAGTCTGCCATCACTCTGACACAACTGCATGCAAGGAGAGTGCCCCCATATTTGTAGGTGTTTGAGCAGTTGTATGTCTTTGTATTCTCTCTTGGTGTTGTTGCTTTCTGTAGTTGTGTTTGAGAGGTTTTTGTGTGTGTGGTTATGTTAGCACACTTTTTGTGATTGTAGTAAAAAAAAACTTTTATTTTATCAGATAAGGCTCTTTTTCAGAAGTGACCTGGCTATAAATGATAGCCCAATTAAGTGGATTATCATGTGGACATTTTTAGCAGCCAAATACTCCCAATGCATGTTTATAAAAGTGGAGGGTAAAACCGGAGGATATGGAGAAAAATTCACGTGACCACAGGGGGAACATGCCAACTCAATGCTGTATACAGGTGTAGGGATCGAACCCATGGACTCCTGTATACGAGGCAAGGAAGTTAACATCTCACCACCGCGATTTGAGTGACTTATGGTTGTGGTTGTCAACATTTAGCGGCAGCAGCTCCTTTTGCCGCTAAATGTTGAGTCAATTTGAGAGCGGTGGACACTCGCGTAGTAAACAAGGGGGGTGTCTACTTCGTCAGACGCGAAGTTAGCTCTTCTCCCTGTGAAGAGATTTAGTGTCCATTAAAATTGACTCCAAAATTCCCGTTGAAGCCGATTGGCTGGTGGATTGATGAAGTCATCCAAAGCAGTGACTGTCAAACAGTCCATGTTTGTGAAACAGTTGCGAAGCGGCTGTTGACTTCACTTTTCTCACTACGAATTTTTGTTGCGTACGCAAATCGTTTCATGCTCAGATTTACTCAGTATTTCACTACTCAGGGCCCCAAGTTCTCCAGTAGTAAATTGTGTCTCAGCTTGATCACTGAAGACTACATACAAAAACCCATGAAATTAACTTTGTTTTATAATTTAATTTGGTGTATATTATTCTATTCGAGAATTACATATTTTGGTTTAACATTTGACAAACACTTTTCAGGGTATATGGATAAATAGGGTATTGAAGTTACAACTGAAGCAGTTTTGTGGCATCATCTGGGGCAGGTCTCTGCTAATGTTAAAAGACACAAGGATACTCTGTTCCACTATATGTAATGTTCAAATGCTTGATTATGTACAATTACAATTTTTTTCTAATGCAAAATAGCATCCTAATTCTGCACATTCTTCATAAAGTTGTCTGCTTCGTAATCAGGAGTCACAAGTAATTTGCATCCATGTATTTTACAATAATAATGATTTTTTATTTAATTATACATTAGCATATCCTTATGTTATTAATTGGAAGGTGGCAGCTATGAGGTGATGTCCACAATAAGGGTTACCATAGTATACGTGTGGTACACACATGGCTTGTTGTTCTTCCCCCGCACATCTGATTTGCACGGTTGGCTATGTACGGTGTGAAAAAAAGTTCAATATACATTAGGGTTGGTGATGGGCTGCTGAGGTGTGTGGTTTTTCCATGATCCGAGGCAGCCCGTATCCAACACGTGAACCCACTTGTAAGCGTTGCTGCAGCATCATCAAGGTGTTGTGTTTCTTGCCGCAGACTGCAACTCAAGGGCTGGCTCCTCGCTCAAAGGAAGTCTTACCGACGACCCCCCATGTCGAAGGAGGCCCCCATCACCAGGGTTTCGGCACGAAAGATGGCGGGCTGACTCAGGGAAATAAACAAGATGCCCGCGAACGTAAAGTATATGGGTGCGTTTTAAATGCAATGCTTTTGCAAACGCATTTATTTTAAATCCAGCGAAGAGTTGATTATGGGAACAAAAGTCTACAAGTTTGTGTTTTTTGTTTAAAACTCCAGTGATAATTTGTACGATATATAAATAGACATGTAATAAATTCATTCTCCCAATCATGATTTGGGGCCGTAACTCAAGATTAATATGTTGTTTGTGGTGCTTTTACTGTCCTTTGCCATCTCTTGCACAGTTGTGCATACATTAGAATATTTCAATAAATGTAAATAATCCATTCTTGCACGATTATCATAATCACGAGAATCGATTTTAGTTAATTCATGGATCATTACATGCAAAAATGAAGGATTCACAAGCAGCTTAACACTTTTCATGCAACTGACAATTACATTAATCGTTTTAACATTTTAGTTTGTAGTCATCTTCGAGCAGTCTTTAGAAACTGTTTTAGTTTTACTCACAGTTACTGCTATAGCCATGTCAGCAGGTTGTGGGAATACTATTCATAAAGGTTTTTGGGTAAGATCGCGTTATTTATAAATGTGTCGTAACCCTCCACCACCCGACAAAGCCAATCAGTAAAAATGTGTCATGTTGACAAAAGACAAATAGTTCACTACTTTAGCCCACCAGTGTGTTAAAGAGTGAATCCACAACATTTTAAATTTTTGAGTGTGACGTTTCACTGGTGATTACATCAGCATCATCGGGCAATTATCCAGAATAGTGAAGCCCTCCACCTGCTCCCGGTCTTAAATAGAGCAGCAGGGTGACGTCATCATTTAACCCAAATAGATGCAGAGATCAGAGGCGGAGAGGGGGGGGTATTGTAATTATATAATAGACGAGGGGGTGGGTGGCCAGCACCACGCCCGGCTGCCTTTGTCTCCCCAGTGGCAATGTTCACACACACCACAGCAGTTACTCGTTTGAGGCTGCGTCGACCTAGAGGGGGCTCAGGACCGGTTCAAATAATCGTCACTGGTGGTGGCCGTGAGCGGGAATCGAACTCGGGTCACCGAGTTCGTAGCGCAGCACGCTAACCACTACACTACCGCTCCCCCCCCCCCCCCACACACACGCGTGCACGCGCGTCCATAGGTACACATACACGCGCTTGCTGCAGACAACTTTCAGGGTGTGTACGGCAGTAAACGACTGAAGAAATAAAGCAATGCTGCGCGAAGAACGCCTTAGACCTGCAACACATTTGTATGGCACTTTACTCGCGCCGCGGAGGGTTGGGGGGGTGTGACATGAGCAAGCACACTGCATTACACTTCCCCATGCGCGGGTCACATGACAGATGTGACGTCACAGCTCACTTGCCATGCAAAAAAATGCATTATTGAGCCCTCCCCCCCAAAAAAATATACAAGTCTATTTTAATAATTTTTACATGGTCTACAGTCTGGAAAGTACCCACATGGCAAATTTCAAGTTCGTTGCATGTTGGGAAGTACGCTAAACATTTTGAACAGACACATTCACAAATTTCCCTTTTATATATAGAGATTAGTAATCAGTTAATTGTTATGATTAGTAATCAGTTGTAGATTAGTTGTAATGTGGATTATTTAATAACTGAACCCAATCACTATACCCAATCATGTGCAGAAATCAGAGGTGGCGGAGGGGTATATGTTTATCTTACGTCTTTTTTTTATGTTATACTAGCTTATATACCCGGCGTTGCCCGGGCCCAAAAAATATTTCAAAACAACTGTTAAAAATCTAACCGCAGTGCGTACTGACTATGGTGGTACCTGCTATAATTACAGCAGTGCATACCGACTGCGGTGGTACCTGCTATCACTACAGTAGTACATGCTGACTCTGTAGCAGTATTTATCTACTCTATAGCACAAAGTACTCACCTGACAGTGGCGTGGTGAGGCCTAGTCCAGTGCAGATCCTCCAGCCTCGCCTAGATTGTCCAGCCGGCTGAGGTAGCACCATGGCAGGCTGGGGCTGGGCTGCTACCCCTGACCCCCCCCCCCCCAGCCACGATCTCCCCAGCCGCTCTGCAGTAATATCTACGGCCTTTAGCGACTGTATATATTAGTAACTGCACGCATCGGTGTGGGGGGGACATCACACAGTGAAGATTTAAGCTCGGCGTTTAGTGTATTTTTTAAGCATCTTTAACGCGAAAGAAAACGTCCCCCACCAATTTGGCATGGTCCGTCCCCCCCACCAAAGGCGCGTCAGTTGGTATGGTCGTGCACAAGTCCTAAATAAATAAAGAGATAGCGCTAAAAAAACGCACTCAATCGCTAATTAAACTTATTAAAAGTTGACGGATGTGAAAAAGGAATAGCGCTTGCTCACGGCGGGGCTTACGGCGTGGTACCTGGCTATTTTTATTTCACGTAAACCCCACCGTTGGAGAGCCAAATCCGTCGCAAGCGTGTGAACACACAGAGCCACAAACCGACAAAGACTTATTTTACTTTTATATATATACAGTAAAACCTTGGATTGCGAGTAACTTGGTCTGCGAGTGTTTTGCAAGCAGAGCAAAAATTTTAAATAAATATTATTTTGATAAACGAGCGAGGTCTTGCAATACGAGTAGTACGTATACACTTTGTTTGCCGAGCGTCACGTGATCACAACTGATATACGAGTGCTTTGATATACGAGTGCTTTGGATTACAAACACGTTTCCGGAACAAATTATGCTCGCATTTCAAGGTTTTACTGTATCTAAAATTTAATGTAACACACTACTAGGTAATAGGTATTAGTTTTGGATTTAAAACATTTTGGACTTTTAAGGACTTGTCAGTTTATTCCGATCATTTATATTGTGTAATAATGTAACATGTCTTAATGCTAACAAAACTGACATCACTGGTTTGAAAACATTTGGTGTGACACAGAAGTGATGTCACTTCCCATACCATCTTTACATATCAATCCAAAACATGTTTTCCTTGAGCTATCCCGTATTTTATTTTCAAGTCTGATCTTATTTTCAACTCTGGAACACATCCAAGTCTAGGTATAATTTTGACTTAACTTTCGTGACTGAAGGAATTAATATTCTATGTTTCTTTCGGTAAAGTGACGTAGATAGAAAAAATAATAACAATTAAATAATGAAAATGAAAATAAAGTGAATAAAAAATAAAAATATCACGACGTTTCGATCGCAACACAAGCAATCGTCATCAGGAGAAAAAAATGGGGAAAGCTGCTGAGGCAGGCTGTTTATAAAGGTTTAGAGATCGACGGGGCAGCTAATGTTAATGTAGAAGGCTCCGACACCAGCAGTAGGTCTATACCAATCAAAGCATTGCACCTCGCTCCACACACCCACACTGCTGACGGTGGAGGTGGACAAGAAAACACAAATCAAGTCATGACCCAAAGTGGTTGATGACATCTTTCCAATGATTGCCGAGTTTAAAACCGTCGTCTCTGTTGAAATTGTCTATATATGGATGGCTTCGTGAACGAATCTTTGTTGATAGCCAGTCAGCTTGCAAATTACTATCGTCTTAAACAAATCAATTTCATGTGAGCCAGCCGCATTTAAGTAATGATTAGCCACGACAGAAATATTGGTCCTGCCGTGTTTCAGATCTGCCTCATGCTCACGAACATGGTCCGAGACATGTCGCTTGGTTTCCCCCAATGTAACTGCTGCTGCAGATACAGCTTAGTTTGTAGATGCCGGGATATTGCATGTGAGGAATCTTGTCCTTCACAGATGCGATTAAGTCACGAATTTTATGCACTGTGTTAAATTGGACCTGGATCTTGTGTTTGTTCAAGATTGTGGAAATATATTTGGTTATCCCTGCTATGCAAGGTAAGGTGATGGTTTTGATTGGATCTTCAGATGGCTCTTTCCTCGTGGTTGGGGTGATGGCTTTGCGGATTGTTTAGTCAGAATATACATTAGCCTTGAGAGCCTGGTGTACGTGTTTGAATTCACTGGTCAGGTGTTCATGGTCGGAGATACATAGAGCTCTATGGTGTAGCGTTTTGATGAGGGAATTCTTGTGGGATGGTGGTGGGAATCAGGTTTTAGGTAGGTGTCAGTATGGGATACTTTACTGTAGACAGTGGCTCATTGAGCCATCTGGTCTCTTTTTGATTAAGACATCCAAGAAGGGTAGCATGCCATCCTTTTCTACCTCCATGGTGAATTTTATTGCTGGGTTGTATGGAATTTGTGGTTGAGGAATTGTTTCAGAGCTAGTCGACCATGTGGCCAGATGATAAACGTGTCATCCACGTACCTCTTCCACAAGGACGGGCGTAGAGTGGATGCCTGGATGGCGTCCGTCTCAAATTGTTTTCCATGAAAATGTTGGCCACAACCGGAGATAAGGGAGAACCCATTGGAGTGCCTTCAGTTTGTTTGTAGAATGTTCCATTCCAAGTGAAATATGTATTGGTGAGGCAGTGTCTCACCAGGGCTGGTACATGAGCATTCAGTCCTTGTTGGACCAAATCTTCAACTATTGCAATGGTATCGGGCACAGAAACTTTTGTGAACAGAGAAACTACGTCGAAGCTAACGAGCAAATCACCTGGGGATGGTGAGATGTCTTTAATTGTCGATACCAGGTGAACTGAGTTTAGAACAGAAGAGGTCTTACCAGTGAATGGCTGCAAGGTCTCGGACAGATATCGGGCCAGTATATAGGTGGGTGAGCCAATGGTGGAGACGATGGGACGAAGGGGTGTACCTTTATGGATTTTTGGTAAGCCATATAGTCTGGGTGGTCTTAGCAGCAGAAGGTTTTCAGGAAAAACGTTTAGTCTATTCAATTACTGAAGCTGAATCAGTGATTATACTGTTCGTTTTTGTAACGAGGCAGTTGGTGGGATCTCTCTTCATTTTTGTGTAGCTGCCATCATTAAGTAGGTCCTGAATTTTATTGTACACGTTTTTGTCCATGATGACCATGGCATTGCCCTTGTCGGCTGAGAGGTTGACGATTTCTTCCCTCTTTTTTATTGAAATAACTCAAAGCATGCCTCCTTACTGATGTTGCTGACTGGTATCTTAGCGCTTTTGAGGTTTGCAGCGATTTCAGATCTTGTCACGTCTGCAGCGATGTGTCCAAAAACCCTTAAGTGCTACATCGAACTGGTCAATGATGTCATCCACTGGTGTTTGGGGGTGACTGCAAAGTTTAACCCTTTAACTAAAACCAACTTTAGA